TTTGAGGTGAGGGGCTTTGGGGTGAGGCGACGCACGCCTGGCCTGGCTTTTCCCCAGGGAGGGGGGCTGAAGCCATCAGGCCAGAAGGAAGCTCCCAGGGCAGGTTGCGGCGCCTGGCCGGGGTCAAAACTTCCTTACCCCGCCTGGCTTTCCCCTCCGGGCTGCTGCCTCCCGTCAGCAATTGGCGTGATGTGAAGGGAGCAATGGATACAGGTGTCCACCCCAGGTGTGAAAAGCCTCCTCACGGGTAAACGTCCGTGTGACAAGCAGTGCTAACCCTGAAACATTAGAAATTACATTTTGCATTTCCATATGTTAACAGTCACCCAGGTACTAAAGTGAAACTCATTCTGTACCTTTAAAGGGATTGTTCCCAGTGTACACACTGTAACTGACTAATGTACACCTCTTCACAACACACTGCCTGTTTCCTTCCTCACAGACACTTTATCTTGTCAATATCTGGTAGTGCAAATGACTTAGGAACTTCTGAATGAAAATCAAATGAAAAACTGTCTTTCTAACTTAAGAAGTGTTCAATTTCTTTTCACTGTGTTCTTCTAGGTCACGCACACTTTCCTGCTAATAACTTACTTGTCAAGATGGTATAAAGTTAAATAAAGAGAACATACAAAATTTCTGTTACCTCTCAGAAGTTAACACATAAAATGTTGTTGCTTTGTCATTTTCATGAGCTATTTATACACTATTAGCTTTGTTACCACTAATAGTTTAAGGTAGATCTCATAGTAATGTCATGGATTTGCTGGACAGAGACCTTGATACTAACTGCTTAAAGGAAAATGAGTGTAATGGATGACAGTAAAGAATTGGTTTAACTATAGAAGATCAAATTCTGAGCCCAAGCCAATAATACTACCCACAATTACAACTTTTAACAAATAATCATTATCATAGAGTGAACAACCTTTTAATGTTTGCTCTCATGTTTTCTAAATACAGGGCTGGTGTGTACCATCAGTGCAAAACACAGGATGAATTCTTCAGATGCCAAGTATATTTCAGTTTCTTCTCCACACACTCGCAACATGAGTAAAAAAGATTTTCCCCAAAGCATACTCATGCAACCAGATTTCCATCCTGCAAATTGGAAAAGGCCATCTGTAAATGAAGGGGGCTTTGCCTCCCATCTGCATGATTCCCAAGAGTCTGATTCTGAAAGCCTTGTTCAGGAGAGACGGTATCAGTTAGAACTCCAGCAGCGGATTCGTGAAAATGAAGAGCTGGTAGGACTGTATTCTGATGAGTTGGAGAATGACAGCTTAGAAGAAGATAACTTGGAAGAGAGGAGTTTAAAAGAACAAGAAGGAGCTGAGTATGACACAGATAAATGTACAAATGGAATACAAAAGAACGATGGTAATGGAAGGTAAGGCATAGGATTTTAGTAGATGAGTAGAACAGCTCTGACACTTTAAAACCTTGTGCTCCTCAGATTATACAATACATATTCAAAACCAATTTATATTGCCAAAGGGCTATTAAGAACACCTACAGACTTAGTTACACACAAAGATGTACTGTTTCATCTTACCCGTGTTCATGATTATTATTCCCATTTCTCCAACATAACCTCAACAGTTTATTGGCTACAACACCAGTGTAGGAGATTAAGGAGGAAGAGCAAACATCCCTCACAGACCTCTACAGTCTCCCCACATCCTGGCTCTAGACACTGCATACAGAGGCAGATGCTAGATACCTATTTAGGTGCCTCTAAAACAGGCAGGCCAGGAGGTAGGAAGCAATGAACAGATACATGCTAACTCCTACTCTTAAACATTACTGGGTTAAGCTAATGGGGGAGCATTTAACTACAGTTTCTTCTGGTAAAGGCCTATTAAATGTAGGTCCCCTCTTATTCCTGTCTATTTGATCCAGAACTGCAGTCAGTGGAAGGAGTCCCATGACTGTAATGGGCTGTGGACCAGGCACTACAATATTTAGCAGTACGTGCTGGCTACCATCTCAAATAGGCAACCATCTAACGGTCAGGCCTTCAGATGGTGCAGCAGCTCTGAGATCATGGGCTGGAGGGCTTCTGGAGCTGGGCTGTGAAAAAGGACCAGAGAGAACACAAAGACTGGTAGCAACACATCCTCTTTTCCTTCCCTACAGAAAGACCTGTGCTGGGCAAATCAGGCTACTTAGAATCATAGAATCACAGGATGGTTTGGATTGGAAGGGACCTTAAAGATCATCCAGTTCCAACCCCCCTGCCATCAGCAGGGACACCTTCCACTAGACCAGGTTGCTCAAAGCCTCATCCAGCCTGGCCTGAAACACTTCCAGGGAGGGGGCATCCACAACTTCCTTGGGCAACCTCTAAGAAAACTTACAGGCAAAAATGGGTGGGTTGAATAAATGCAGTTTTGTCCTTATAGCTGTATAAATCTAAAATTAAAATTGCCAGGGTTACCATCACCCTTAAATATTCTTTAGAAAGTGTTAACTTGGTACATAAAATTTAATTTGCTGTCATATGCATAAAAGGTTTAACACTGTATAAATTTGGAATAATTCTCAGGTTTAAAGGGATTAAATTAAACCCGAAGTAATAATAATGGCAGTTTCAATTTAATTGTCTACTTAAAATAAAATGGCAAACAAATGAAGGCTAAATGATTAATAGCATGCTTTTATTCACCTCCTCAACAGGCAAAATGGCCAGTTATTGAATATTTTATTGTAAGTGCAAATGATGTTAATTGTACTAGAAACATGCTCTAATTTTTCGTATTTTTTTTTTTTTACTGAATACTATGCTGAATGTGAGGCTCTTCATTAAATGGAAATTTGATTTTATTTTCTTTGAACTTAGCCTAGTAAGTACTCAAATACAGTCCATTAACTGGAGCAAATATCACAGCATATACATATGAAACCCCCTCTCTACATCCATTACTAACCTCGGAATTTGAAGAGGAAACACTGCATCTGTTGTCTACGTACAATACTTTTGTTGATGAGTACAGAGTCCATCTAACCTTTATATCAAGTTGGGGGGGAGGAATAAAAGGTGCACTTTTTGTCTGCAGATGATTAGAGATGAAGCAGCTCTTCACACTCATTTTGTTCCTGTGCGGTGACCTGGCCTGCAGAATACAATTGAGCTGCTGTGCACACATTTCAGCACAATAGAACTCTTTACTATTATACTCTGTTATTTGAATCTTTGCAATTATATCACATATTTCTGTACTCATTTCAAAATATGATCATATGGTATATGAAAACTAGAAATAATACTTTTTTTCACTGATGGAAATCATCTAATCTCTAGTATACAGGATACCACAGCATGAATGCCTGAAATGAATAGCATTGCTAGAGAAACAGATTATTATTAGGTGCCACTTGAAATATAGGCATAGGCATGTAACTAATTTAGAAAGGATGAATAAGTGATTTAGGGAAATGTTAATATAATTAAATAGGCCACAGTTTGGAGAATCTAGCAGATCAGTACGTTTCTTTTAATTGGGGCTGAAGAGTCAACCAGGTTTCAGTGCCTATAAATGTCACTTTGAAAGGCTCACCAATTGTCAGTGTCCAACAAACCAGGACTATACTGCAGGTCCAGTTATGAAAAAAACAGTGCTAAAAGCTTTTTTCTCCCATGCTCCTTACTCCTGCCACTGGCCAAGTGTCTCCTGGAAGCCAGTTTGTATGTATTTGGCTCCTGCAGCTGGTTTTCCTCTTCTTGGCTCAGACTGTAAATCATAAACAGAATCAATTGTGGGTTTTTTAAGGCAGACCATCTTTGCTTTATGACAAATAAAGTTCAGAGCAACGCTCTGGACACTTGTTAAAAAAACAAAAAGCCAAACCCCCAAGCATTTTCAATTTATCCTTTTCTATGCTTATCTCAATTACAACCTGTTTTTTAACGAGAAGTTACTTGTAGAGAGTTTTTTATTGAAATGACATGCAGTATTATAGGAATGAGAAGAGAGAATATAGAGCTGTATGCTGTGCTTGCTTAGACAGTCAGTTCTACTGACATTTGAGAGAGGGATTTTGCCAGGAATATCACTTTTCTTTCACTCAGCAGAGTTTTTGAAGAGTGAGCAACACATGCTGTCTTTTGTAGGCTACTTCATTTTGAAGGAGACAACAGAAGCAGTATGTTATAATAATTTCATCTTTTAGTCAATTCTACTAGTGCTTTCTATGCTAAATTTATTATAAAGACTGTATTCTTCTGTGATCTGAATGTTAGGCCAAGTTATCATTCACTGATAATGAAAACCAAAAATGAAGAGGAAGTCCTGCTTAAATTTTCTACTAAAAAAATGTTTGATAAAACTGTTCTAATGCCCATCCCACAAATGGCCATACTCTATGCACTCATGATTCAGTTGACCATAGTTGCAAGACATTCGTTGGCTCAAATTGCACACTGAAAAAATATAGAATTTATACAATTTATACATAAATAATTTTGTGGGGGTTTTTTTTTTTTGTTTTTTTTTTTTTTTTTTTTAATAGGAAACAACAATCTGTGGACAAATATTTCAGCCTACGATACAATCCTAATTGGAAGTACACAAAACAGGTAGCAGAATTTTCTGAGGCAGAAAAAGCATGTCAGGTTTCTGGAGGAAGCAGTGTGGACTTTTCACAAGATTCATTTTACCTCCATTCCAATGGGTCTCCAGAAGAAAAGGATCAACAGGAAGTAAAGTCACAAGATTCATTCTCAGAATTTGGTACAGAATTACTGAGTATTCATGAACCAAATGCTGTGGTCACCAATGAACCTTTTAGGCTACATACCAAGGGGAAGGAATCTGCAGGTGTCTGTCATTTCAAAGATAGTCCCAGGGCTTTTTCTCTTCAGATTCAAAACCGACCACCAAGAGCAAAAATAGACTTTGTGGAAAAAAACAAACGGACTTTAGGATTACCTGCAGAGAAGATAAATTCCTATCTTCAATTACACAGTAAAAAGCAAGAAGCTGTTCTTCAAGAGCTGGTAGGTAACTTTTACATCTTTTCTAATGGATATAAACTGAGGACTGTCTAGTGTTAAAATAGAATAGCTGTGTGATCAGGTTTGCAGAGGAGGTAAGCAGATCTACAATCTTATCATGCAACTGATAACTTATGAGTTCCCTTGAGAATCTTCTTCACCCTTTATGGAATAATTGACAACTCCAGTGATGGCCTTTTAACAAGCCTGGTTAAGCTATGTATATTCTTGGCCATGAAGCATATCTGCATGCTCACAGAGGTGGTCTCTCACTTGTTCTTAACCTTGATGCGACAGAAATGCTGTCTTCCTTCCTATGGGATCTACATCACACCTTAATCACTGGTTCTTTTTTTTTGCTGCCTCTGATTTTTCTCTGCTTGGCCAACATGAATTTGGGAATGATTTTCTCTGCTAATAGCACATTCCCAGTTTTGCTCAATGCAGCATATGCAAACTACTTCTAACAGGAGAACACTCACAATTTTTTAACTGCAGTAGAAACCCTGATGTCACCATTTGGCTTAAAAAGCTGTATTAGTGCTTTTCCACCTGCACTGATCATAACAAAAAAGTGATGTGAAGTTACAGTTTAGAGTCTGAGAACCAGAAAACCTCCTGTGGTCATACTGCTTTCAAGGGCCATGCATGCTTTTGCTTATCACTGCCATTTTGGGCCACATATGTAGGAATATCCAAGAAATATGTGTCAGATTTGGGTGATCAGACAACTTTTTTCTCCTACTTGTTTTCTCAGCCAGACCAAACCTTATATTTGAAATCAGTCAGCAGATATTAGTCGTGTACAGTACTTGGATTTGAAGGGCCTAGCTTTCTTCTGATTAACTGTGAAGTATTTGTCAGACAACTTGTATTAAGGATTAAGTGGAAATGTAATTACAGTTCTTAATGAACGATTACACATGAGTTTTTTGCTTTTACTTGCTACTTATTAAGCATAATGGGAAGGTGGGAGTCATTGAATCGTTTCACAAGTTGTAGCATAGAAAATACTTAAATTACAAAACTACAGAGACTTTCTCCTTTAAGTGACCCATTTTCCAAGGCTAATGAATAGTTGACACAACACTAGAGGGCATCTGCTGACTACATTACAATGAGTGTAACAGTGGACAAGCTTTTTTCTAGCAGAGCTATTAAGAGTACTTGTTATTTTTTTCAGTTATAATTTGGTTGATGGTAAAAATAATTAGTGTAGATTGATGATAATTAAAGCTGTGTTGATATGATTATGTTTACTATTTGGGGAATTCTGAAAATATTTAATATGTAAATATTGAAATCAGGGATCAGGACTTCATTGTGTAGACACTATCCAAAGATACATAAATAGAATAAAAAATCTGATAAAATCAGGGCTATGTTTTAAGATTACCTTGATGAAGTAGCCGTGGGGACAGCAGACCTGTGACATAGCAGGAGCCAGCCAGCATGTGTGTAGAAAGGTGTGGTTTTTTAACTTGACAAGTAGATCCAGCCACAACAGCATCACCACCTACTGTCAGCTACTTTTGTATTTGCTGTGGATAAGCATAGGAAGAAGTACCTACCTCTCTTGTTCTTAGTCAAGACTTCCATTGCTCCATCTTTTTGGAGGGGGTGAAAGAAGACCTGATGGAAACATCTTGTTGGCCAGAGCTGGCCCATGAGCCAACTTTGGTTACCTCACCTGAAAAACTGCATCAAAAGTGCAAAAACACCAAGTATGCAAAGAAGTAAACAAGCCACATGTCTTCTGCTGGAGTGACCAAACATGATCTGAATGCTGTTTTTTTTTCCTAAACTGCATTGTTTTGAGATTTGCAGGATGATAAAGCTGTTTTTATCAGTACTATCACTTGGCTGTCGTGTCCTGTGGTAGTGAAATAGTGTTTACAGTGGAGTAAGTACCTTGCATACAGCTTTTTTTAACTGATATAACAATAAGTAAAATATTTGCAGCCTCATTCTTGGAAGATTTACAGCTGTTATCTCTGTGCATACAGACAGCAGGCTGTATGTACCAAAACATACCACAAATGTGTGTTGATCTGTGTATTTACTAATTTATATAGCATTTTATAAAGCATCAGGTTCTCTGTGGTGTTCCCTGATTCTTTAAGAACCTGATGATGAGTTTCTTAGAGAGAGAGAAAGAAAGAGAAGTAGTGGCCCAATCTAGCTCAGCTGTACTCAATATGAGTTGCTTTCCTACCTACAAGCCCCTTACTTCAAAGCAAGGAACATAATGTACAATTTTTTAATGGCTCTAGACCAAGGCACTCAGACTCTCTGTGCACTGGCCTTACCTCAGTGTAAACACCTAATCAAGATTGCCTGCGCTTCAACAATAGCAGCCAAATGCAATTCGAGAACCACAAGCCTTTGAAGTCCTCACTGCAAAGGCCGGTTTTCTAGTCTGGGATAATGACATGCCATGATTGCTGTCTTTGTTGTATCTTTTCAGTAGAGAAGCAATTATGGGCCTCAATTTAACAGAATAGGCATTACACAGCTTATGATGCTCAAAATGCAATTTCATTTGATCATTTTCTCAATTTGATTGGTATTAATAGAATAGTTCACAAAAAATACTGGCAGAGGTTGTGTCCTGTTCCTCTTTCAAAGAGATAATGTAGAAGTATGCTTTACCTGCCCAGTAAACTATCAATATAGTGAGTCAGTTGGTTCCACCAAAAACATCTTACTGACTGCAAAGCTGTATCTCTCCACAGTTCAGGAAATCTGTGTGGTAACTTTTAATTTGTGAACTTTTCTCAACACAACTAATAAAATCTGAATCGCCATTTGGAGCAATGAGATCACCTAAAAACTCAGCAATAGACCCTACCTATCTTACCCTAATTGTCCTAATCTCTCACCCCCAAAGATGAGAGGCTCAGCTCCCAGAAGGATTTATCACTTCCTTCACACTGATTTCACCATTATGAGTTTCAGTTAATAATTCCCTTGGTCACAAATATATTCTCAGAGCAAGTTCTCCCATGTTAGCCAGTGTCACCCTGCAGTGGTGCATAGGTAGCACAAGCCTGAGTCCACCACGTGGTTAGCTGTAGTCTCTTATAGTACTTAGAAGGAGAGTTTGGGACAACACAAGTATAAATAAAAAATTAAAAAGCATTTTGTTTCATTAAGTTTTATAGACTGGGGAAAAAAAAAATTTGGTGCTTTCAAGAAAAATTTTAATTATTGTCATATTTATGAGGATATCTCTTGGCTTTGAAATCTGTAGTGCCAGCAGCCACCCTTCAAAAATTGCTCAAATCTGATTTCCAGCCATTGTGCTACCACAACTGTGGCCACATTAAGATGTTCTTGTTCATGGGCTTGCTATTTTGCCCAAGCTGTGTGATACTGTTGCCAGGCTATGTGTATTAGATGTTTGATTTCTGCAACTACCCCTTGTACTTTTCTATCAACATTACTATGTTTCGACATCTTTTTCTGCATGACCTTTTTCTGTTGTTCAAGACCTTGCTATTGTGTGTGTTATCCATCAATATCTTGGTACACTGGCTGATTGCTTGGACAATGATGATTGTCTAGTTGTTTTTCTGTTATTAGGTAAATCCACTGGCTCTCATAAAAATGGCTGAGCCCAGATGTTTGAGTTCCAAGTAGGTTTCTCTGCTGCATACTTCCTGCAATTTTCTTTTCCTCTCTTCTTCTTAAAAGTAGAAGGAATACTCCCTACTACCACACCACTGTTAATTGGTTTTTTGCTTCCTTTTTCATTTTCTCTTTTAGCTATTCATTTTCTTGTTATCTATTATACAATGCCTAACTTTAGCATTTTATCTTTGATAGGAGGCAAATTATTTCTCTGTTCTTTCCCCAAGACTTTTAAATCCTTTCATCTGGTTGGGCTGTGGCCATAAACATTCTTGGTTTTCAGGTTACAGGTCCTAAAACTGTTAATGAGGAACCAGTTCAGAGCATCCTGCCACTCCAGACTGTGAAAATGGAGCCTGAAGACAAATGGTACCTGAAAGCACAGCAGCTCAAGGTTCCTTTTCGATAGAACATGATAATTGAAATACACATGTAAAAGCATTGAAGTTTGAATATTTAAAGCTGTAATCTCATTGCTTTTAAAGTACCAATTACTGAAAATAAATCCTTAGATACATATCAGTAGATGATCACCAAAATTTAATGCATACATTGCTTTATATACTCAGTGATTTAAAATCTAAATAGATCACAAATCGCAAGAAAGACTGAGGTCAAAGAATCTTATCTATTTAAGACACTATTTGGTTGATAATAAGGTTAAAAAGTGCAAACTAGTATATGGTTCTCTTTGATGGTTCATGAGGATTCTGAGCTAGAACTAATCCCTGTGAACATCAAGGAGTTACCATAAAACAGAAAATGTTACAAGTAGAAAAAGTTGCACTTACCTCCTCTGTACACGTAAGTCTGTAGATCTGTTTTATGCTGCCCTTTCAAACCAATGCAATAGGATAGTCTTTGGAGAAATACAAGGGTCCAGGTTATCAGCACTGATGAAACACCAAGAACTTCAGAACCAGAACTTCAAGCCAACTGCAATTATTATTGGCAAACCTAATTACTGTATTTATATTACAACTGTTTGAAGTAATTCAGGCGCACTGTTTAAATTCCCCGCTGTTCACTTAAGACTGTAAAGGAGAAACAAGACTTTATGCTGCTGTTCATTGTGAGAGATGTGCTTTATATATGGAATTTCAGAATGAAGAAGGTATTTTACAGAGCTGCTCATTCTGTTTAAATGGGAAAACACTGGCCTGGTCCCAGTTGGGCAGCAGCTCGTGCTTTCCACCAGTGGCACAGTATGCCAGAACATTAATCGTTACAGCAGAGGTCGAGCTAACAAATCATCATCTTGGCACCAGGAGTCAGGATTCCCCAGTGCTAAAGCTTTCGCCAAAACATTCTGCTCTATGTGTGGATTTAATACCTACCATTAAGTAGTTATTCTGAGTGCATATGCTATGCAGTGATTGCAAGTGTTGCTAACAAAAGAACCCTAGAGAGACAGGAGGATGAAATGGAGGATTTTAGCGCTGACAAAGATTAAATGGACTGAGAATGGATTTGTATATTCCCTAGAAGGAAAGTCATGTCTTTCCTCAAAATGGGCAACACCTGATGCTGTAATTGGAAAGTGATAAATCTTAAATAAACTCCAGATTTAGACTATGTCAGTTTAGCTCAAGTCCTGGTGTGCTTAAGTTCTTAGATTGTTTCTTATCATTTGGATAATGTTTTGTAGGATACAGGGCAGGAAGGAATGCTTGGTTTAAAAAGGAAATAATTTAAAACATTCACTTCAGTCTGTTTCTACTGTGGACCAGTCTAATAAGGTGTACATAGACATCTTTTCCTGAAATTTAGTACAGTTTATTTTCCTTAGAGGATAAAAACCAAGAACTGATTTGATTTTTGAAACATTTTCCCCAGATCATAGAATCATAGAATGGTTCGGGTTCGAAAGGATCTTAAAGATCATGTAGTTCCATCCCCCCTGCCATGAGCAGGGACACCTTTGACCAAACCAGGTTGCTCAAAGTCTTGTCCAACCATCCAGATGGTTGACAGTGAGCTACCGCTTGTTTACAGGACTAGAAACAAGTAGTCCTGTGCATTTAAAGGCGGCTGTTTTTACACCTCATTCAGATAAAACTGCCTCATTCTGTATTTAACCACAGCATCATTTCTCAGATATAGTCTACATCTGTAAAGAACCATTTTTATAGTATTCTGCTTCAGGATTTGTCTCAGGCCATTAAGCAAAGTTTTAATGCAGTATTATGCAACGTCTGTGCAGCACTTGGATAGCATCTGTGCTTCTGTTCTTGACTAGGGGTTCCTATATATTTTGATTTTGGATTAAGTATAGCCAGGCCATTACCTGGTATAGCCACAAACATAATTTACCGAGTCGTGGTTAAATACAAGCAGTATGGAGTAATGTTGATGGGTCTAATCAAACTGGCCTAACCCTTATCAGTATGTTAGAGAACTGTTATCATAGTCATGAAGGACCTATACCATACCTAGGTCTCTTCAAGGACCCTTCTATCAGGATATGTTTTGTTAATTCAAAAACCACAAACCCAAAGCCTTACAAATACCGCAAAGAAGACTGTTCTCCATACCATACTAGACTTCAGGACACAGATGCTTTTCCTTTTACACTTCACTCTCTGCTAAGAGCTCACTTTGAAAACTAATTTCCATCGCAGTACTCATTCAGCCATATAAAACGTTGCTATAACCCTTTTCTAGTTGTGAGTGTGCCTTAAACAGGGGTGGCTGGCTCCACACATCCCTGATTTTTAAAAGGACAGGTGGTTATTCACTCCAGCCTGTTCAGGCATCTTCAAGGCACATCAACACATATGCAAAGCTCAGTACATGTTCAGAACTCAGCTTCATTGTAATCTGCACAGCTATTTAAGGGCTGTCTAAAATAAGAATGTTGTCCTGAATTAGGATCATAGAACATGATGTATTCTAGTTAAAACATCAGATAATCAGTTAATTTGTAGAATTCTAATAGCTACATGAAAGGCATTGTGACAGGCAAACTTACCTGTACACTTGTATATTGTTGATCTTAATTAACATATACAATAGCAACTACTGAAATTTGCCCCTCTTTTGATAACTTGTTTTAGGATCACCAAAACAAATCTTCCCAGAGAAAGAAAATAAAAGCCAACCAGCATCCCAAAGGGAGAGCTTTCCAAAGGAACGATAGCCAACAACCACCAGTAAGACCAGCAGAACCAAAGTCTTGGCACCAGAGGCACCATCAAATATCAGAGTTTCAGACTGCTCCCATGCAGGCAGTGGAGCAAGACAACAACAGCACACTGCAGAATTGGCTGTATCCAAGTCTTCCTGTTGGCCCTGACACCAATACAGCAGCAAATTCAGATATCCACTTAAATAATTTCCCCAATTCCAGACATTTTGTTAATCAGGATTTTTCCACATCTACCTGTCCTTTTCATCCAACATTATATAAATTTAACCCAGCAGAAGTTGTATCTCCAGCATATACCAGCAAGGAGAACAAGAAACATCAGCATGATTCTCCAAATGAACTTCCACATGACCAGCAACATTTATACAACCCTGTGGCTGTGCAGCTTTTTGCAAGAGAAAACAATACCAATGGTCAAGCACATCCCAATCAGAGGAATATTTCATCTACTTTTGATGCCAATTTTCAAGAATTGGTGAAGGATCAAGTATCACTTCAGGACTGCAAAGGGCACATTTATGTGGAGAAAAGATATCAGAACTATGCTCTCAGTAGTTTATGGTAAGGATGTAAGTGCTGAAACAGTATTGTCATAATACTCTGACACCCAGAAAAAATATAAATGAGACAAGAGAATGTTTTAAAGTCCAAAGTATAAAATTATTTTGCTACAAACCTGCCACTATAGATTACTAGTAACTTAAGATTCATTATAACTATTGATTTTTAAATGTGGTATTGGAAAAGGACAGTTCTGTACTCAAGGGGCTTCCTTGCACATAGACTTTTCCTTCTGAAAGGCTAGAAGGTGAAATTTTAAAAACAGATAGCAAAGAGCACTGTGCATAAACTAAGTCTATGACTAGCTGCATAGAGTGGTATCAAAACTTGCCTTGCAGGATGAGTATCCAGGCTCATTCCAGTGACAATTCTGTTTTGCTACACATGGGGGAGGGCATGAAAATCCTTAGTTATGTAGGATTTCAACTGCCTTGATAAAAATGAAGGTTTTATTTCACATAGACAATTAATTCTTTCAATACTTAGCAGGCCCAATCCAAAACTACTCAAAGGCAGTTTTCATTGGCTTAAGCTAGCTTTGCATCAGGCTGAAAGTTTCCCCATCTATAATTTTTAGCATTTATTTTAAACAGTTTCCATACTTTTGGGTGCAAGCAAAGTCATTGTGAAATATCCATCTTTCCATCTTCATGTTCACAGTAGATTCTGTGAGCAAGGATCATTCCACACACAGATTGCTTGTTGAGCTATCTGCTACATACAAATAAAGATTCTTATTTTTCCCCCCCCTCTTTTCTTTTTTGAGGCCTTCTTGGTCTTCTGTTCACAGTTTTCCAACAGCCCCTTGTACAGCCTCCCAATTTACACAAATGATGGAACGACATCACCAAGAAATCACTCACTTGACAGAAGCTCACTTAGCTGACAGGTACTTGTTCAGCCTACTTCCACCTATAATTCCACAGGTAGAAAGTGGTTCAGCAGTAGATCCAGAGAGCAGTGAAGGAAATCGAGTGCAAATAAACCGAAGCAACTCAGAAGGATATCTCATGCAAATGGAAAAGCAAAACAAGCCTAAAGTCAGCAAGAAGGTAAGCAAATAGATGTGGATTGGATGGTTTTGCATTTCTATTTTCCCCTCTGATTAATTTTTTTTTTCATAATAATACAAAGATCTTCACAAAAATTAAAAAAAAAAATAAATAAATGGGGACTTAGAAATATTTCATTGTTACAGAGAGCACACTGACACAGACTGACTTGCCCAGAGCATTAAAACAAGGAACAAAGATGGAAACAAACACTAAAATCATTTTAGTTTAAAGAGCAAGGCGGTTCACTACCACCTCTCCCTGTGTCACTTTCAGTCTTGATTAGCCCTAAGAGCACACAGAGCAGTGTTTGTCCTTTAAGTTATCCAGTGATAAAATGATTTAGAATAAAGCTGTTTGTATAAAGGAGCAGGTAGCCAGGCCTCAGATCTGAGCAAATCATTATCCTGGTCATGCTCATTTGCTATCCAGCTCAAATCTCTGGCTTTCCAAGGGAATTGAACTGAACAACAACAAACTTAGAGGATTTGTAAAGCTAACAGCATAAACATTGTTACAAGTCTCCTGATGATCCCATTTTGGTCCTTATTAAAACCTTTTTGTCTTTTCTGTGTGTCCAGTTTCATACTGCAACCAGTTAACACCGATGCAGTGGAACAGCACAGAGATATCCCTGTGTGTCCATGACAAATTAAATGTTTAAGAAGTTAGCTCCAAGTCTCAAGGCAGACAAACTAAGCTGGAATAATTACTCATGTGTTTTCATCTAGGAGGCAGTATGTGTATTGCTGCTTGAATGCCTCTAAGAAGAATTAGCTGGATTATGATAGTAACTGAAGGGCAGATTTCCTTCCCTTTCAGTTCCCCTGAGTTCAAAACATTGTTTCTGTCCTGTATTTTCAGGAGCTTTCTCACGCTTCATATGTGAGGAATTACACAGAGAATAAGACTGTTTATGTCTCACAGAAAAATCCAGCTTTTCTTAGTAAACAAATGCAATCATACTCATCACGTGAAGTGAGAAAACCCTGATTTTGTTGTAGACAGCTAAATGATTAACTCTTCACAGTACCTTAAATTAAAAGTTAGGTCTAAGTATATCACAAAAGAATAGAGATAACTGACACAAAGAAACATAAACCAGAAAACTCAGTGCATAGAATTACTTTCTCTGCGGTTGAGTTTGACTTGAACACGCCCTGTGAAAAAAATGCACATTTTATTTGCATATAGAGATTTCTTGGTGTTTCTGCATTACTTTGTGACTGAAATTACTATAGAGCTGATCATAATGAGTTTCCACTGACACGTTTTTAAAACGTAGTCCACTTCTAAAAATTAATCTAGTGTTCTTGAAAGAGATTAAAAAGATTCTGGAAGTATTGGGGTCTTTGCAGTAATGTCATGAAGTATTGAAATGGCATCACCCATCATTCATCTTCTGTCTTCCCTATGTACTTGTAAAGCTTTTGCTGTGCTGCAAGGCATGTATTTTTCAACTGTCTGTGAACAATTTTCCGTTGCAGTTTTGAGAACAAAGAGAGGTTACTATTACTAATAACATTTGCCTATTTTTTTTACCACCAAAATCAGATACTTTTATCTGCTTCTCTTATAACAGTTTCTTTGGAGTTTCATTCAAGTAACAGTCAAATGGGTCACTGTTTAAAAATAAAGCACACAAAAGATCATTTTTGACTGAGAAAGTATCACTTTGTGATTTGGATGGCTGGAAATTGCTTCCTTAGATTCAAAGGAAATACAGTGTAAGTGCAATTAACTTTTTGGTCACTTGCAGTCCCTAAAATGAGACAGGCCAGGGGTAAGACTGAGACTGCAAGTTGAAACTTGCTCTTATCTTGGGTGTCCACTACAAGACTAGCTTTAATTATGCTCTCCGTGAAATCATATAAAGGAAAATCAGTCACTGCTCTTTGTTTTTCAGCCATGTAGCTCAAAAGCCTACGTACATCTGAACGTGAAGCTTGGAGGCCTTGGACCTGACTATGAAGCAATCAAAGAGAAAGTAAGAGGTCCCTATTATATGATCTGCTTTTCAGTTGTGCAAAGTGAACTTAAGCAGGGAAGAGTAGCAAAGAAATCACTGCTAAGAAGCAACTTAGGTTTGTCTGATACCTTATAACCTTGACTCTAGCTTGAGAGCCTCAGGGGAGACTCAAATAGAAGGAAAAACAACTGTATTGTGGGTAATTTTAACTCTCTAATTTTGTAGTTCCAGAGACAAGGAATAGTTCACAGAATTCAACAAGGCTAATTGCACATCAGTAAATTATACATTCATGTGACTGAGTTGCATTGTCATTCCCAGTGTAGAAGGTTTACCTAACCTCCAAAGTGGAAGTAAAAGCAGAAGTTGTGCAAACACAAGAAGAAAATAGCTGGATGCACATTATGCTGTTGAAATGGAGAAAGATTGTTCAGAACAAGCATCTGAACAATTGGTATCATTTGACCTGTTCTCTGCTGATAATGAGGATCTGGTAGCAGCCGTGCTGCTATCTAAGGTGCTGCAAATTTCATCCTGCATGCTTTGAGACTCTATTAATCTGACAACAGGTGCTTTATATAACAGCAGGAAGGAAAAATAACAACATGATCATCCCTTTGCAGTCATTGAGAAGGCCCTGTATTTTCTTCCTCCCTGCCATAAATGCAACAGATCAGAGATCTGAAATTGGAATGGACAAAATGCTGTATAGCCCAGGACTCTGTGCATTTTTAACACCATCATAACACTTTTGGAACCTGGCATACCACTGGGGTATCACTGCATCAAAAGGAAATAATTGATGTTGGCTGACAAGAAGGGCAAGGTAGAGCATAGTGCTGAATTTGAGCATAATGAATTGCTGGAAATATAGAGACAGAATATCAGTTAAGTAAATGAAGCATGTCATTCAGGACCTTAAGTACAGAGGTTTTAAAAGGCATTGCAAAAGCTGATAGAAATTAGCACAGCCATTTTAGAACTGAATAGATATATTAAAACAATCAGAATAAAGATGCATCTGTGACATTTCTGTTGAGCTCTACCTGTGATACAGTCCAATAAAAAGCTCTTAAAAATTAAGAGTGGCTAAAAAAGCTGTGCCATTTATCAGGATTTCCTGTTGTGTTCTGCTGAGGAATGATCAATAGCATAGCCAGGTTAAACAGCAACAGAGGTGTAAATGGAAGACTCTGGTGGAAAAAGTGTTTCATTGATGGATCCAATGAGACATTTAATTAACCATACACTTTTTTCCTTTTGTCAGAAAGAGAAGTTAAAGCAACAAAAGGAATATGCAAAGCAAATTAAGGAACACAATATGAAAAGCATTGGTTCAGTTCAGAAGTTACCTACAAAACCCCAGGTTGTATCTTCAGTGTCAAGACAGAAGGTAAGAACAAAGTCCTTTAAAATGCATATGTAGGGAGAGATTCTGAACTTTGCACAAGGAAAAAGAAAAGCATAGATGTAACTCACAGTAGCCTAAAATAGTTTCTCCATTTTAATTTTCCTTTTAACAACTTTAAGGATGTCTATTCTCACGGGATCCTGGCAAGTGCTCATCTGTGCATCTCTTCTGTTATGGCTGTAGATGTGTGCCAAGAGTTGCTGATTTATTTGCTAACAGCAGTCTTCAGTCCATGCATCTGCCTTGCTCTTCATGAGAGTGTACCAGGAAAGTGTTCGTGTGTATTGAACACTGTCAGAAACTATATCAGGAATTAGGAGAACCATGAGTTTGACTCAACATAGAAACACCTAAATTTTCTTGGAAATATTGTTCAAGTTTTCTCTTAATCACTTACCCCAATTTTCATGTTTTTAGGCGCTGGAGTATGCTAAGAAGGTTCCTAGACCAAAGACTTTCACAGCAAGAAAATCAGATGAAGAGGTGAAAGAGAAAACAGTTCTACCACAGACTTTAAATGGAGAGAGTTTACCTCAAATTGCATCCTTGGAAACTTTGCAAAATAGACACGAGAAGGAAAAGCAAGTTGTAGCTGCTTTCAAAACCCTTCATATCTTATAAGTATTTTGAAATTATTAGGGCTATCTTCAAGGCAAAAATATTTAAACTATTTAATTATGAGCTATGACCATCACATGTTGATTTACTATTCCATTCAAATATAAAGTGGCTTAAGTTTAATAATTCTTAAATTTTGGAATCACTTCTACTATACCTAATTTTTAAAAAAGTAAACAGTTGTTTATGTAGCATTTTAAATACAGTCATGTCTGTTGTTCTTTTTCTTTGAAATCAACTGATCTAGCAGTTGTATCTTTCAGACTAATCAGCTGTTCACTTGTTACAGCTGGATCATTTTTAGACATGTCAAGCATATGGGCATATCTACAAAACATTAAAAAACCCCATCAGTTTCATTTGATGATCTTAATACCAGCAATGTTTCTCTTTCTGAAGTGCAGAGGAGATTTTGGCAGACTGTCCAAAAATAAAGCCAAAAACAATCCACTGCTGGTAAGAAAGAATAAAAATGTGTGCACCAAACATAGCAGTTGGTAATGATACAATACTAATTATTCAAATGTTACTTGTTATCTGTTAGTGAATAGTTGTCATATCAAGACCAAAATTTTGAAGCTTCTGGGACAAGAAAATTCAGAACAAGTACTGGCTGATCATGCAGACAATCTGTTATTAGCCAGAAGCAGTTGGAAAATATATTGAGTAACTAAGGATAATTGAGAGCTACATGTTTGAGAGGAAACAGCTTTTAACAGATTAAATCTATAAAAATAACAACAAACAGATGGGTTTCTTATGATGGTTCCATTTCTTTAACTTAGTAAATTATGAATTAAGTCAACATATGAAATGTGATTAGAACACACAGCAAGGGAATTTTGACGAAAACACACTAAAATCTCTTCGAAAACAGGCTAGTTAAAAGGAAAAAAAAACCCAAACAAAACAACACAACAACCTTGTGATTATGTGTAATTGCTTTATCCAATTTATTAGGCCTCCTTTTGTATGGGAGGAGAGAGAGAATTACTCTTTGGGCAAAAAAAAAAGTGTTTGAGTCTCCTTGAAGGAGGCTAACAATGGGAAGGTAAGGTAGGGAATAAAAGAAATATTATCTTTGAAATAGTTTTCTCTTTTTCCAGGTGCACCTTTTGTTACAGGTAGAGGTAGACATGTGTAAGACTTAACATGTTTCTGGGTTAACATTTAATTGGCTGGATGGCTCACAGGAAAGATAATTTTCTGGTAGGTGTACAGTGAAGTCAAGACATCGGAGGTATGACATATATTGCTGGAAAAGCACTATTCCTTTCATTTTATAGAGTCCTGAGTGAGTTTATAGAATCATAGAATCATAGAATCATAGAATGGTTTGGATTGGAAGGGATCTTAAAGATCATCCAGTTCCAGCCCCCCTGCCATCAGCAGGGACATCTTCCACTAGACCAGGCTGCTCAAAGCCTCATCCAGCCTGGCCTTCAACACTTCCAGGGAGGGGGCATCCACAACTTCCTTGGGCAACCTGTTCCAGTGTCTGACCACCCTCACAGTGAAGAACTTCTTCCTAATATCTCATCTAAACCTCCCCTCTTTCAGCTTAAACCCATTTCCCCTTGTTTTGTCATTAACTGCCCTTATGAAAAGTCCCTCCCCAGCTTTCTTGTAGCCCCTTCAGGTACTGGGAGGCCGCTATAAGGTCTCCCCGGAGCCTTCTCTTCTGCAGGCTGAACAGCCCCAACTCTTTCAGCCTGTCCTCATAGGAGAGGTCTCCAGCCCTTGGATCATCCTGGTGGCCTCCTCTGGACTTGTTCCAGTTGCTCCAGGTCTCTCTCGTGATGGGGCCTCCAGAACTGGACGCAGTATTCCAGGTGGGGCCTTACGAGAGCGGAGTAGAGGGGCAGAATCACCTCCCTCAACCTGCTGGACACGCTTCTCTTGATGCAGCCCAGGATATGGTTGGCCTTCTGGGCTGCAAGCATTTGACCTAGATCATACAGTCCTCAGGATGCCTCAGTCCTCCTGGAAGTGGGATAGTTACTGAAATACACCCTGCAGGATCTCCAGTCAGGCTCCCAGTCTAATATAGGAAAAATGGATCTCCATACTGCATCTGTCCATCATGGAAAAAGGACTTGTTCCTTTCTTTAAAGCCCTCCTGACCCACCTGACAGGTAGGAAGCCCTCCACTCTGTGTGTTGCTTCCCAGCATACATGCTGAATTAGACTGTTAAGACTCCACAGGTGGAAGTTTGTGACGTACATCATCTTTGAGGGAAACTTGGTGGAAGAAGTGTCTTCCAGTGTGGGGAATGTGGGACAGGTTGCAGGGAAAAGGTTTTGCATATCAAAGTATATCTTCAAATGTCCATTGCAACTTCTGGAACGGGACCATTCTCTGCCTCAGCCTCCTTTCTCCTTGCCTTTGGGAACTGCATTTGCCCCTTCTTTGTAGAATGTGCCTGTGGTATGATCCTTCAAGCTAGGCCGGGTAAGTGTTTCCATGCTCTGCCAGTTGCTGCTTTTCTACCTTTATTTTTAAACCAAATGGTAACACTTTGAAGCATTTCTGATTAGGGAACCTCAACTTGTTGTTTCTGCTTAAAAGTGATAATCCCCCCTTAATACAAACCTCGAGTACCTATTTTAATGAAACCTTCAGATGAATATCAAAGAGCTATTTACTCGTATCTAATATTTTAATTAGATTATATTCTCAATTTAACCCATTAAACCCCCTTTGATGATCTCCATGTTTAGTGTTTAGCCCCAGATGCTGGAGGTAATGAATATTGGACCTTTGATTTAATGAGAACTTCTGCCTTTCCAGCCTGACTCCCTTTGTATCCCCCTTTTTTATTTTCTGAGCTATAGAATTCAGTTAATTGAAGAAGTCTCTTACCACCACACATTAAGGAACCTAAATTAGCATCCCTTTTCTGATTAGAAAATGCAAGCAGACATTTTCTCTTTGATCTGAGGATTGAGTTGAAGTAGGCAACAGCCCCCTGAAAATGAGCTGATGGCCTTATTATTTGGCTGACATGCAGATGCGTCCATGTGGTGCAAAATGCTTAATGTCTTAATTGATCACCTATCTCCCTATCTGTCATCCTACTACCTTTTAGAGCTCACATAAATTAGGGTGATCTTTCTAGGTGGGTGGTGTGTTTCATTTAGGTTTTTTTAATAAAACAATGAACTTTTAGGAAACATTTAAATACCAAACCCGTGCTAAACTAGAAGTCATGTGTACTTACATGCTGCATTTGGGGGGTGGGGGATAGGGCTTTTTTTAAAAAACACTGACCATGATCATTTCACAAACTGTTTGGAAAGAATTGTTTTGGTTTGGTTTGTGGTTTTTTTTTTTTCCTCCCAGAAAAAGACATTATTTGCAGCATATGTGGAAAGAAAATCTTTTGATCTGCCTCAATATTAATGCAAATTTTTCCTGCACCTAGCAGATATAGGGGCACAAAAAGGGACCATACAAGTAAATGATGATCATCCATTCTGCTTAAAAGCGAAGGCCAAAACTTCATGTCTTTCAAATTAGGAAGGCAATGAATTTAAATAACAAATAGGCCTTGAATTTTGCATTAAGTATTCAGAGAGAGATGGACCTGGAATAGAACCTGCCTGCCATAGTCCCATGGCTCCAGCACAACTATCACAGAGCACAGCGTTACTCACCGTGAGTGCAGGCTGCCTTCACAGGGGCAGAAATGTATTTGTGTACACCAGTCAGTAGAACTTCACAACATTTACTTGGCACCCTGAACAGTGCCACCATTTCTCAATATTTTAGATTCAGGAAGTGTAGAAGCCGAGACCACCTTCAATGGTCAAAGACCTGGGGTCAGTTCTACTTAAGAGCAACCACAGAATGTTAGGGGTTGGAAGGGACCTTGAAAGATCATCTAGTCCAATCCCCCAATGCTGCTGCAATAACACCATCACATTTCTTTCAAAAATAACTCAAGTCAGCTTCCCACCACCACCTCACAAAAGGTGTGAACAACTGGCTCACAGGTTTCTGACTCTGATAAAAACGTACCTTTCTACCAGTTAAAAACATTAAGTCAGGCAGAGCCTAAAAGCCATATTCCATCATTACATCTCTAAAGACAAACAGCCAAAGATGAGGATTGCAAACCAAAGGAGATTATGGCTAACTCCTGCAGTCATTGAATACTTCAAATAGGCATGAACAAGCTATAATATCCAACCAGCCCACAAGCCAAGCATTTGATCACTATCGTCTTCCATTAGGGATCAATTCTACAGTAAATTATAACAGCACAAAGAATATGCCTTTTTTATTATTATTTTGGATGTCACCCAAACCTAAGTGGTCTCTGGGTGAGAGTAAGCAGGCAAGTGAAGAAAGGACCAACTCTGGTGACTGCCTGGATGGTGTAAGAGCTCTAGATGCACAAAATTGCAGGGATAGGTAAAGGCAGTGAATCTCTACTGGTGACAGCTGGCAAGGGTGAGTTAAAGCAGCCTGCCTCACAGAAAAGCCTGCTTTGAACAGAAGTGATACTGAGCCAAAAACCTGGATAGAGCAGATGCTAAAGAAGCATCCAGCAGCTCAGCAAGAGCTTTGCATAATCGTGAGTGCAGAGCAGGCAGCTGCAGGTAATACCACAGGGCTAGTTTTCTGTGTGTCATAGGAGCACTTAAGGGTTTCTTCCAGCAGTCACAACAAAGCCAAGATATACAACACTGGAGAATATTGAGTCTTTACTTTATAAAAGCAAGTTGAGTGGTCTCAGCAATAGCTGAACAAAGTGAGTCACAAAATTTGGTCAGCTTGCCTTTGCCCCTGGCATCTTGGAAACCTGTATCATAGAGTTACCTCATTTTCGTGAGTTAAAACCAGCTTCTTCCTTGAAAGACTATCTGTAACCTACCAGGTAGAAAAGGCACTGCAGTCCACTGTGGAATCACCCTTTCTTCTCTTAATCATACACTTTACACCCACCTGCCTTTATCACCAAGTGCAATGTATTGCTACTGCTGCATGAATACTGTGT